GGGGCCGCTCCAGGGGGCGTGAGAGCGCACGCGCTGGTCCAAACAGAGCGGTGGTTGCCAGCGGCCGGTGGTAGGCTGGCTGGCTTTGCAGAGCAGGAGATGCTCGGGGCCCTCGCGGCCGGCCCCCGATTGGCGCGCCCTGTAACACCGCGACGGTGCTGCCCGCACACGTGTGCGACCACGAACAACCGCGCGCCCGTGCACACACACGCGCACACACACACACACACACACACACACACACACACACACACATGCACTAACACACACTCATCCGTGCAGGTCGGCGACGCGGCCCTGGCCGAGGTCGGTGTGGCGCTGCTGGCGGCGCTCTCAGAGTCGCTGCCCCTCGACCCCGCCGCGCCGCAGCACCACCAGCAGCAGCCCCAGAAGCAGAGCGCCGGCCTCCTCATCATGCTGGCCACGATGCTGCGCGCGCGCCCCGGCGCCCTCGTGCTCGCCGCGCCGCAGCTGCTCGCGCTCGGCCGCGCGCTCACCGCGCCCGGCCGGCTGCCGCTGCTGCTGTGGGCGCTGAGCCAGGCGGCGGAGGCGGAGCCCGCAGCGGCGGCGGCCGCGTGGGTGCGGGTCCTGCTGCCGCAGTGCGTCGGCGCGCCGCTGCCCGTCCCGGTCCCCAAGTCCGGCGCGCCCGCGGCCCCGGCGGCGGTGCCGCGGCTGGACGCTTCGTCACAGGAGGCGGCGGTGGCCTTCTTCGAGGGCCTGCTGCAGCGGCTGGGCCCCGGCGCCGCTGACGTGGCGCTCGGCGGCGGCCAGCAGGCGCCGGTCGTCCCCGGCGCCGCCGTCGAGGCGCTCGCGCGCGCCGCCGCGCCGCCGGCGCCTGATGCGGTTGCTCCTGTCGCGGGCGGCAAGGGCGGCAAGGGCGGCGCGGCCGGCGGCGCAGCGGCGGCGGAGGCGCTGGCGGCGCGGCTGCATGCGCGGCTCGTGGCGCTGGCGGGGGCGAGCCGGGCGGGGGGGCCGCAGCAGGGAGAGTGGCTGGTGCTGGCGCTCGAGACGGCTGGGCTGTCCTCAGGTGTGTGGGGGCGGGCGGGCGGCCGACAGTCTGCATGTTCTCCTTCAATGCTGGGCTGGGTGTCCTCGCAACCCCCTGTCAGCGTCTCTGCGACCCATGCAACTGCTTTCTGTGCGCCTTGAGCAGTATTGCTTGTGAGCAGGCCGCCACGCCGGCTCCCCCCAGCCCCCTCAGTGTGGCCCATCTCCCTGAGTGGCATTGCGAACGCACCACAAGCCGCACGGTGACTCGCGCGCACCCCTTGGCCCCAACCTCCTCCGTTCCGCGCCCGCCTCTGCAGCCGCGCCCGACGCGCCCGATGCACTGACGGACCGCGCGGCCGCCAGCGTGGCCGCGCTGCTGGCCAGCCCCTCTGGCGAGGGCGCCTATGACGTGTGGGAGTCCAAGCACAAGGGGCAGCTGCGCGGCAGCAGCCGCGTGCTGGGCGTGCTGGCGCGTAAGCCTGACCTGCTGCGCCCCGTGCTCGCCAACCGCCAGCGCGCGGAGGCGCTGCGGCGGCTGCTCGCGGCGCTGCCCGCGCGGCACCGCGCGCACCTCGCGGCCGGCAAGGGCTGGCAGGCGGCCGCCGCCAAGTCGGCCGAGGCGTCCGTCGCCGCGCTGCGCCGCCGCGCGGCCGGCGGCTGGGGCGGCGCGTTTGGCGGCGGCGCCAAGGGCGGCGGCAAGGGCAAGGCCTCGGCGG